TATTTTGCAGTATTTCGAGGCGCGTCCCGAGACGCGCCGATTGAGTTTCAAGAAACTTGTTTCCCTGTTACCCTTTTCAGGGATTTTCATGACTGTTGTCAAAGTCGGCGGGAAAATTCCGCACAAATGCATCCGATTTTAATTCAGTTTTCAATTTTTTTGCATCAAAGGATTTTCAGCAGCTTTGTAAATTGTAAAATTTGGAGAAAGTTGTTGTGATTACGCAAAGATGGATTATGTCTGGGAATTCATTTTTGATTATCTTACTGAATAATACAAATTTATGTGATGTAAATGAATAATTAATTTGAGTAATTTTTCCTTTAAACCATGATTGAAGAAAGTAATTTATTCTGACATTATTTTTCTTCTAGATTTTTAAATTATTACTGATTGGAAATCCCTCAAGTCTTCAAAAAGAAAATTTTTTCTCACACTGAAGGAACTCTAACAACCATTTCTAATATTAGAAAGTTGTTGTAATCATGGGTTGATTGATCACATCTTGGAATGATTTTTTAAATTCTATGCATCCTCTCACTGAATCAAGGTGGTACCTTGCATTCCAATCCTAATCCATTGCTGGACTAGGGTCAAATTGCAAAGTGGTCAAATTGTGAGACAACATCAAATGGCATGCTTTCTACATGGCATTTGATGTTTCATGTCTCTCTGCAGGTTGAATTGCACAGCAGAGGTTGAATTGAGAGTCAACCTCCCAGCAAATGTTGTGAGGAATAATCCTCAACAAATAAAGGTTGAAATTGGAATTGAATTGATTTAGTGAATAAAACAAGAGAATTTGGTCAGGCTGCAACCAGGGTGTAACTTCACCCTATTATAAGGATAGTTTAATGCTTGAGTAGGAATAAGTGAACAACAAGCTTTTGCGTAAAATCTCAGAATGGCAATGCAACGCTCAGAGAAACAACACACACAAATGCTCAAATTGGACTGTATAACAACTTTGCTGATTTTGGAAACCAAGAAGACTGTCCTACAAGGACAAATACATTAGCAGTAAAAGGTACAGCCTTGAAGGCTTTGAAATATCCATGAGAACCAAGGTCTTCTGAGGTTCTCACACAGATAGAAATGAAAGAGAAATGCTACTGAGAATTTGGGTTCTCTAAATCCGGCATGTCAAATTAGTATGGCCGTTGAAATATTTGCGACAAATGTTACCATCAAATTGCAGGACAGTCAAATTGTGGGAGGTCAAATTGCAATGTACCACCTGTGATAGGAATTTATGTGATATGCAGTAATTGCATGATTCTGCCATCTTCCTTCAACATGTGAATGAGGAAATGTATTCAATCCAGGATTATTTTTCATCTTGATTCAAAGATTATTGCTTATCAAAAATTTCTGAAGACTCCAAAAGTAATGTTTTTCATTGCAATTTCAGCAATTATGTATAATAATTCCAGAAATTTGTCATAATAACTGGTCAATTGATCATGTCTTGGAATGAATTTTTGATCTGCATTCCAAGATTATTGCTGATCAAAAATTCCTGAAGACTTCTCAAATTTTTCTTTGGACGCGAGGTGAATTGGCGCAGCATTTTATCTGACCAGAGAATTAACAGACTCAATTGAAAATTTTTTTTGAATATTTTTGATTCGCAGGTTTTTCTGGGATTATTGCTGGTGTTGGCTTGGACACCCCAAAAAGCTATTGGGTTTTCCAAGAGCCCCTTGAATTACCATGTTCAAACAGACGAAGGCGACGAGCGGTTTTTCAAATACCAAACCCTCAATGGACAATTTCGCAAGGAGAAACGACTCGATGATGGCACTCAGGTGAAGAAACATCAGAGAAGAAGAAAAAAAAATCCCCGGAATCTTACGAATTATTTCACCTCTCACATCAGGAACTCTTCAATTTCTAATAATTTCCGTGAATATTCCATGAGGAAGAGCTAAACTGCAATTTGAATATTTCCCGAAGTGTTAAGGTTCCGATGCCGAGGATATAAACCTTGAATTCTTGGCACCCAATTGTTCACGAAATTCGAGTTATTTGTCTTTCACCGTCATTATGTAAGAAGTAAAATCTAGGAAGTGAGCTGGAAATTATAGTCTTCCTGCTATAAAATAATGAATTGCCACGTAAGTGATTTGTTTTTCCCTCCATAAGTTAATTTATTATTCATAGAACTGCAAATAATGGTTTATTCTGATTCGAAATTCCATGTTTTTTTCATTTTCTGGTAATTTCGGCAGATATACTCAAGGGTGTAAATAGCCTACGAATTTTAGGAATAAAATAAATCAGAAGGGGGAATAAAGAAAAGACATTGGACCAAATAAAGTAAAATTTTGAAAAATGAAATATGAACTTCAGTCACCAAATCCTCCATCTCAGTAAACATTGTTGCAGCTGCAGGTAGAATCTAATCATACAGAGTGTAAGACATTTAGATTAAGACCAAGAAACCATATTTTCAATTGTACTCAAAGTTGTTGTATCGAGAACCTTTTAAGAAATTGTGGTTTTTTTTTAATTTTGATCTTCAGTGCTGGTAACTAAATTTTTTTGCAAGGAAAGAAATTGTAAAGAAAATAAGACAGTTTTTAAGCAAATTTATTTGTTAAATATAAAATTCCCATATAGAAGCAGTGAGATATATACTGTATCAAGTTATGGCTTTTATTTGTCCCTTCTTTTAATTCTTTTGAATACATTCTGTATACTGCAAACATTTTCAAAAATTGCAAAAATTTTGATGCAAGCAGAAAAAATATCTCAGTAATATTAATCCATTTAATTCAAGTATTTTATTTGTCCCTTCTTTTAATTCTTTTGAATACATTCTGTATACTGCAAACATTTTCAAAAATTGCAAAAATTTTGATGCAAGCAGAAAAAATATCTCAGTAATATTAATCCATTTAATTCAAGTTGGAACATATGTGACATTGCAAGATTTTGGGCTCTATTTCTCCAGGGACCTTTGAAATTTTGCTTTTTTACTGCTGTAGCAAAGTTTTTAAGGCATAGTTTGTCATAATTTAATCTTATCCATATTTTCAACAGGTTGGCACATATGGATGGATAGACCCAACAGGTCTCCTCCGCCTTTATGACTATGTGGCAGATGACTGGGGATACCGCATAGTCAACAGCTACACAGAGAATGTGAACAAGGGAACTGCTCCTTACTCATCCCCTGGACAATATGCTCCCAACACTGTCTATGCTTCCAATGAAGTCTCCATGGATCCAAAGCATATCCAAACCCACAAGACGCATGGGAAAAAGATGTACAAGGAAATGCCCCTGCCAGGTTATGCACCTCCACCAGCACACCACAAGCCAGCTGTGTACACTAGTAAAGAGCACTTTGGATCATATGAAGTCCCACATTCAAGTGGGAGTCAAGAGAGTGTGAAGCATTCCTATAGTGCACCACATCCAGTGGTCAGCAACTCCTATGGTCCTCCAAAACAGTCTTATTCAGTGCCTGAGAAGGCTTCCAACTCTTATGAAGTTCCTTCAAATTCATACACTGTTCCTTCAGCCTCCAGCACTTACAAGTCAAAAGAAACCTATGCAGTTCCTGAGGCACCAAAGCATTCTTACAAGGTCCCAGACCCTCCACAAACATCTTATGGCATTCCTGGAATCCCAAAGGATACTTACAAAGCTCCTACTCCAGAAAAAAGTTCCCATCAAGTTCCCCAGAACAGTTACATTGCACCAGTGATTCCAAAGAAAACATATGCAACTCCAGAGGTTCCACAAAACTCATACAAGGTTCCAAATGTTCCCAAGCAACCTTACATAGTTCCAGAGACTTCAAAGTCATCTCATGCCAATCTACAGGTCCCAGAGCAAACCTATGGAGTCCCAGTGGTACAGCAAGATTCTTACTCTGCTCCTGTGGCATCACAACAGGAAGCTTATCAAGTTCCACAACCATCATATACACTGCCAGTGGTACCAAATAAAGAAACATATGTGGTACCAAAGGAAACCTACAAAGCTCCAGAACCATCTTATGAAGTGCCAGTGGTACAAAAGCAAACATATGTGGCTCCAAAGAATACCTACAAAGTCCCAGAAAAATTCTATGCAGTGCCTGTGGTACCAAAGCAAACATATGTGGCACCAAAGGATACCTACAAAGTCCCAGAGAAATCGTATGCAGTGCCTGTGGTACCAAAGCAAACATATGTGGCACCAAAGGAGACCTACAAAGTCCCAGAAAAATCGTATGTAGTGCCTGTGGTACCAAAACAAACATATGTGGCACCAAAGGAGACCTACAAAGTCCCTGAACAATCTTATGCAGTTCCAGCAGTGGTCCCAAAACAAACATATGCTGCACCAAAGGAAACCTACAAAGTTCCAGAGCCATCCTATGCAGTGCCAGTGCTAGTATCAAAGGAATCTTATCAACTACCTGCAGCTCCAAAGGAAACTTATCATGTTCCAACAACGCTGAAGGCAACTCAGGAAGTTCCAGCAATCCCAAAGCAAACTTATGGAGTTCCAGAACCACATAAAGCATCTCATTTTGTGCCAGAAGCTGTGAAACATTCCTACAGTGTCCCAGAGCCACCAAAACAAAGTTATGCAGTACCTACAACTCCAGCAAAGAACTCATACAAATCTCCTGAAGAAGATGACCACCACCATAAATCCTACAAGAATCCAGAGAAAATCCACCAAGGGAGTTACCAACCACCCAAGGCCCATCACCATTCTACTACATATGTTGCTCCAAAGCCAACATATCATGCTTCAAATTCTTATGATGTCCCCAAAAAGGCAGTGGTTTACAGCAGTCCAAGAAGAGTTGTTTACAAAAAGCCAGTCTACCAGCAACATGTGTCATACTCAACCCCAAAGGTGGTTGCTGTTTACAAGGAACCTCAAACAACATATGTGGCTCCAAAAGTCTATGAGAAGACACATGAACCCAAGGCTCAATATAGTGCACCCAAGGTTACTGTTTACAAGCCTAAGGTGAACAGCTATCCCAGACCTACACACACTTACAAGGGACATCATAACAGCTATCATGATGATGATCATCACCACAATCCAGCAGCTACACAATATATACCCAAAACTGTGCCTGTGGTGAGCTTTGTGAAGACACCTGGGGATTACCATAGTACAAGGAAAGTTATTGGATTTGAGGATCCTGATGCTGCTTCTCGTCACAAGGTTTACTACAAAGCACCCATCAAGGCATCTTACTCCCACAGAACTGTGGATACCCACTCTGTGAATGTTGCTGGGCCAAAGGTAGAGTCATATTCACATTCCAAGGGGCACCAACATCATGTGCACCATCCAAAGGGACATCACCACCATGATACACATGTGAAGAGTCATGATCATGGACATCACCACCATGATACACATGTGAAGAGTCATGATCATGGACATCACCACCATGATACACATGTGAAGAGTCATGATCATGGACATAATTCCAAGGGTCATGACCACCATTCTACTGGGCATCATTCCAAGGGCCATCATGACCACCATTCTACTGGACATCATGGAGGACAAACAAAAGGGCATCATCATCATGATGACCAACTTGGAGGTCACAGTCATCATCACACAGTTTCAACAAGTTATGCACCTCCTCATCATCAGCATAGTCATGGACACCAGAAGGCAGGATTCTTTGCACCAAAGGGAGAAAATCAGCATAATCATCATAAAGCCAAAGCAGGATTCTTTGCTCCACAAACACATCATGATGATCACCACCATGAAAAAGGAGGTCATTTTTCCCCAGCAGCAAGAGCTTATAAGGCAGCAAACCCTACAACCCCAGCTTTCAATGCTGTAACCAGCACCCCTGCTCACTTTTCAAGGGGCAGCAGTCAGGCAACATTTTTGACTCCTGTGAAACCTGATGCAAGTCACCACCATCATCATCAGCCCAAGAATGTTGAGATCCCTGTAACTTCTTACAGGCCCACTGAATCACCAACAACCAGAGGATTTGGGTTTCCTAGTATCAAGTCCAAGGGGGAAGATCATCATCACATTGGACAGCATGGATCTACAGCACTGAACATTGTGGTTACAACTGAGAAGCACAGTTTTCCTGCTGAGAAGAATGATGATGTGTTCTTCAAACCTCTGGTTTCTTCCTCTCAAGGTGAGTTTACTAAAATTATGGGCTTCTTCAAGTCCCCACTTCAGCAAAATATAATTCAGTCAGGTCAAGCCATTGTATATGCTTTTTCAGACACTACTATTTCAAAATACTGTATAAGCACTGATAATTCCACTGAAAAAGGTCGAAGAGTAGATATACTTCTCTATAGCTTGTAGGAGGATATATAAGTAAGAAACATAAGATCTTTCACCTTTGTTCAAAGTTTTTCATTTAAAATCATTTTACCCCTCATCTATCTTCCAGATAACCAGATTTCATAAGATTACTTTGCAAATGCAAAAAGTCAGCATGCATTTCAAGGCTAATTCAGGGGATCAACTTGTTCTCTTTAGCTGATAATGCAAGTGGACTCTCTCTATAACAATATTCAAGGGACCAGAAAAATAGTTCCACAGATAATTTTTGGTAGAGAACCTATATCACATGGAGAGAGAACTCCATGGGGCCTAAAATGTTTTCATGCAGAGAATATTGTTGTAGAGAGAGTCCACCTGTAAGAAGCAACCTCCAAAAATACCTTTACCTATTTTTGAATAAACTTGATGGAAGAAATGTCTTCATCCTGGTAAAAATGTAAAATACAAAAACTTTTTATTGGAGTATATCATGAAAAATTCAATATATGAATGAATACTTGTATGAATGAATTGGTGATGGACCCCATTATATGACAAGCAAAATGTCCAACACAAAATGTCCTACCTTTTCAAAACAGCAGATGAACCTGCCAGCAGCTATTACAGTATACAGTAGGATTTATAAATGTGAGTTTATTTGGGAGCTCTTTGCAAAAATTAACCCCATTGATTTCAGTTCATCTGTACCAGTGCTCCAATGAATTTGAAAATAAAGTGTACACCATGTTTTCATAAAAAACAGGTGATGTCAGCAAGTCAAGCGGTTCTCATATTCAAGAACTCACGTCAGTTCTGGAGCCGCCAGCAGAACACGGAAAAGCAGACTATTTTGAAAAGTTCCTGGGAAAACCCACTGATCAGCAAGAGTCATTCGATGATTCCCCATTGCAGGATGACAAATTCAAACACTTCATCCCTGCGTCATTCGGTTTGCGCAGGCGCAAACGGAATATCCCAGAAAGTTCTTTGACATCGACACCTGATCACAGCTTTTCTCCGCTCCCGAAACGATCACAAATGGCGTTCCACAGTGAATCTTCAAATAATTTTGGCAGCAAACGGAGGGTGGTCGGGTCACATGTACGCGTGCGTAGGCCGAGAGGGTCGCGAGATAAGAACGTTCAGGTCGGCGTTTATGATCATGGTTCGGACGGGGATTTCCGGTACAACACCGGAAATCAGTTCCACTATGAGAAAATCCTGCCGAACGGCGACAAACAGGGTAGGTTCGGTTACGTGGACCCGTTAGGCGTGTTTCGGCAGATACACTACACGGCTTCGTCGACATCCGGTTTCCATGTTCAGAAGGACTTCCGGCAAGTCGGTGAACACTACGACACGTCTCACGAGTGATGCAGATTAGGTGGGAGGGAATTAATGACAATCCCCATTTTTTCGAGGCAGGTTCTGATGAGGCATTTTGAGAGACAGAAAATCAGAAAGAGATTCCATCAAAATGACGCGAAACATTTCCCCGGGGGACGTAAGCTGTGATTAATTCTGCACAGTTGAATGGGTTTCGAGACTAATCAAACAAAAGTGAACTATGAATGCATTTGCGCGTATCTCATGTGTGTTATTATGTGAACGGAGTTATTTTTTACTCGTCGAGTGTTGACTTGTAAAATACCGTACTTGAACGCTTTCGGACGTTTTCCTGCTATAAAGAATATCTGTTGGACGCTGAGAAACCCTTGCGTGTACATGATTTTATTTGAATAAAGCTTTATCGAGAAACTTCGCCTGTCAATTTATTTCCTCGATCTAAATAAAAACTGGGAGTACGTGCAAATGATGTGGAATGTGGGAATTCTCAATGTTGCGCATAAATGTTCTTGGATCGCTTCAATCCTTATAACGTATGCAAATGTCGACAAAGTAAGTGGTGGGTACATCTTCCGATCTGCATTTTGATTAGAAGTGCTTCAAGGTGTTACTGTCTCATTCAAATGATCGAGGATCTCAGGAGGTTCATTTGTCTCTCATGAATAATTCATGCAAGTGATTCTCGAAATCGATGCGCCCGTCATTTTTTTCTTCATATTTTTTTGTGATGGGCAAGTAATTTTACCTAAAATTATTCGAAGAACATTCCATTTCGTCCTCTGTTTTTCCGAACCGCATCATTTTATTCCCAAGACAAAAGAACACATGAAAGGAAAGGCAGCGGGAGAAATTTCGTTGCAGTGAGCCCAAATAAGATGGGGGACTAGAGAAAATCGTTGTACAGAGAATATCGTTGTAGAGATAGTCCACCTGTATTATTTCATGTTTAAGTTTACAGCCCCGTTGGAGGGTTGACTAGCAGCTGCAGGCGCGTCCCGAGACGCGACAATTATTCTTGACGAATTTTAATCTTTGCTGGGTCTGTGTAGGAGAAAAAATTCCGCACAAAAAGAACACATGAAAGGAAAGGCAGCGGGAGAAATTTCGTTGCAGTGAGCCCAAATAAGATGGGGGACTAGAGAAAATCGTTGTACAGAGAATATCGTTGTAGAGATAGTCCACCTGTATTATTTCTGCTTTGGACATAGAAGAAAACAATCTCGGAAGGAGTCGTTGCTCCCTCGTCATTGGGATGAGTCGCCCACACAGAGTTGGCGAAGCTTCAAGATCAAGGCTTTCCGCAGAGGCGGCAATAAGCAAGCAGTTGATGACTGCCGCCTCGCCCATGCATTGCCATAGCCGCCACTATATACAGCCGACGCCATCAATTCCTACCAAGAACATCCCTGTTTTGTCTAGTATTTCCGAGGTTCACTCGTTTTTCAACCTGGATCCGCTTATTTATCACATAAAACCTCAAGACTCATTATGATTGGCATATTCCTGCACCAAAAAAGAGTTGTAACGCCTTCAGTGCGACGAGGATGTCAGGATGAGTAATATTAGACAATTTCTCAACCCTTTTGTGTGTTTTACGAGTAAAATTCTTCTACAAAAGAAATTTTCACGTATCCAAACTGAAAAAAGTAGTTGAGGACTTCGTAGACAAGATTATGAGATTCAGAAGTACTAATTTAGCGTTTGATGATTTTTCCAGTTTCCATTAAAACTATTGGAAATGCTGAGATTGTTTCCAGCTTCTTCTGAGCAAAAAAACGAATAAAAATTCACAAGCAATAACGAAAGAACAACTGATAAAATGAATGAATTAATGTGACAGTGCTGAACACTTCATTTACGCATCTGATGACTATTTTCAAATGTCACCGTAGAAACAATAGAAAAAAGAACTTCGCAAAAAACCTATTCGACCAAGTATAATTTTGTATTTCCAAATTCAGTACTTGCACAAAAAATCGATTTTTGGCGATTTTCCCAGTTTCCATTGCATTTAAAATATTGGAAATTTTGAATTTGCTTCAAATATTTTCAAAAAGTGCAAAAAATGTAGAAAAAATTGTGAACAAAATTTCAGCAAGAAAAATGCAATGTTAATGATTGCATCAATGAACAGAACTGACAGTGCTCATGGAGATATACACTTTTTTTAAGCATCTCCTACTCAAATAATTTTTATTCTGCTTGGAAACCTCATGCTATAAGATTTTGTGATTTGGACATTGCATGACGCATTGAATTAATTACTCCATATCGTAACTACATTTCATTGTATCTGATGCTTAATTCCAATAAATGTAAAGTATTTTATTGTAAAGCCATCAAATCCCAGCTGGCTCACTGATTTTAAAAGCTGTAGAACTACAAAAAATGGGCTAAATTTCAAGAATAAATGCAGCTTGTAAATTTCTCCATCAAAGGCAGAAGAAAAAATGGAGAAATTCAAAGTTATGAGTGGGACAGGAAAAGGGATCAGAATGATGCCCATCTTATGAGCTAAATTATTATCCCAGGCTGTTCCAGGTGAAAGAAAAAGCACCATCAGGGCACCGCCCTGCAGCATATCCTTTTAAGGGAAACACGAAGTCCTCATCACCAGCCCTGCATGTGCCTAGAAAAGGAGTCAATTCCGTATATGCGGGTTAAACAGGTAATTTGTCTGGGATAAAATCCGTATGGTCAAGTTTTTCTTCTGTAGTTTCTGCTGCTTTGAATTTATAGATGATTGTCTTTTCAAAATGGAAAGGAACACAGGTTGACACGCTCTTTATACGACAAAATTGAAGGGACTATCAGGTAACCCTAGATGTCGCCCGAAAGCACAAGCCAACACGACACGCCACGAACTACTAAAAATCGAACAAACACATCGAACTGACCATGAAAGAACCTGCCCAGCAAAACCTGATTTCTCTTCCTGACCTCCGAAACCAACAGCACCGAAGAAACTTTACTTCATTCCGTTTGAAGCGACGCTCTTGAAGCGCACCACACTTGAAGTTTTGAGACTTTCACTTTTCAGTAAGGTAATGATTCACACGCTTTAGCGTTTGACAAGAACCTCTGAATCACAAACGGCATTTGCCGGATTCGTGCATTGTGTTTTAAATTTTCTTTGTCAAGATCTAAGGATCTCTGACTGGGACCAAGAAACCATTCGTTGTTGGTATGCATAATTTTGTGTTATAGAACCCCCATTAAGTTTGGGAGAGGACCTTAAGGGACGAAAAATTGTTGAAGATGAGATTGGATTTCTTAGAGTGAGCCTTCCAACTGTAATTAAACTTCTCTAAGTTAAATTTCATGGGACCAGCAACAAAAAATTGAGTCAGTGAGGTCTGGAGTCAGGGAAACAAACATTTGTGTTTTTTGGAAAAGAGAGAAGAGTTGAAGAAAATTTAAAGGTGATATTCTGGGCCTTAAATTGTTCCTCAAATGATCTGAAAGGATGCTGAACTTTGAGGCACGGATTCACTTGCTGATTATTTAGTCTCTTAACTTCCTTTAGAAAACACATCAAGTTTTGTTTTCTATTGCTTTTCCCTTTCCTGTGTCAAGAAAAATGACATAAATTGTTTTTCAGAGTCTTTTAAAACTAATACCTCTAAACTCTCCTTTTCGGAATAACTCCATCTTCACCAAAATTGGGAACCTGTCGTCTCCCAAGGACCGGTAGGACTCCGTTTCAGCGGCTTTTTTGGGGAAGGGGCATTTCAGTTTGCCCAAAGGTCACTGAAAGGTCCCCAGGTTGCCAAGGCCTAAGTGGGGAAGAATCTGGGTACAGAAAATCCAATTGCCTCAAGAAATCCTAAATTTTAATCATAAGCTGGGAATGCATGAAAAAATGCCACTCTGGGATAATTTTTTATGAATATTTTTTTGATAAAATTTTCTTCAGGATTATAAAAAAATTATTGGGCTATTTCCTAACTTGGGCCTTGGTTCAAAAATTGTATGTTTTTTTAATTTTTTGCCCTCATACACATCAACATTTTGCTTTTTAAAGGGTTGAAACAGCGTGTTCCCAACTTAAGTCTCTTCCTGAACTTTTCTTTAACTGACTCTAACCAAACTCAATAACTCCAAGTGGACATGGTTATTAATTTTGTGGTGTCTAATAAACGTGGTCATACTTGATTAAAAAAAAACAGAATTTTCAGGCACAAAAATGTCATGCCTGTTTTTGCCAACAGGACTCAGGAGGCTCTCTTTCTCTTTTTTCACCTCTTTTCTCAAACAAATCTTCAAAAATTTGCCATGGGGCTACTCACAAAAAAATATGCAAAGTTCTTCTTGGTTTCACCCTAAAAAAAAATAATAAAAACTATTAGAGCCATGACTATAATAGTGTTGGGAACTGCTGTTCAGGAAATTGTTAGAAATGGGCAGAGAAAACTGACACAAGACCCTAAAACCCTCATGCATGTGGGAATTTGCCACGCCTGTTTCGTTTCAATATATTTAAAAAAAAAGAGCCAAGACATTTGACCCGGGTTAATTTGTTCGGCACCCCGCTGAAATATCATCCGCGTGACCCAATCCAAGGTCATGTCAAGAAACGAATTTCGGAAGCATCCGTTTCGTCCTTCAAACACTGCGTTTCTTTTCTCATGAGAAATTATCTAATGCTGTGAACGTATACAGTAATTATAAAATATTCTTGGCAAGCAAATAAAACCAAACTGTGTACAACAATATTAGTTCATGTCATCCCCACTATATTTGCTGAAATTCCCATTTAAGGAAATTCAATCAAACAATTCTGCTTCAGTTCGATTGATGAGGAACAGACAAGACCTGGATCCAAGTACTGCATTTGCTTTTTTGATGTATATAGAAGATCATTGAATATGTGTAAAATCAAATACCATAAACCTACCACAGTTACTTACAGTATAAGCAATTTCAATTTTGGGAAATGAGTAAAGTTTGATGAAGATTTACGAATAAATGCTCTAATACTGGACCTGCAAAAATGTAAAGCTTGAATACTTATGAATGGAAACATGCAGGAATCATATCGATTTAAGTTTCCCTTTTTACTAGGTCTGGAATCAATTCACCATTATATCCTGATGCAGTTGTAAATCTATGATTGACTTAAAAATTTTTGGATAATGTACTTGTCATTTATTGTCCTGTCAAGAACTTTTGACTTTTTGCCTCATCAAGGGAATCCATAATAAGTAAAGCTTTTTTCTTTGTGGGAATTTGATCCCTGCACAATACTGTATATATAAAGGAGAAGAAAGTGATTTCTCAAAATAAATCTTTTAAAACGTGGGATGATGTTCAACGATGTCTGCTTAACTTGCATATATATATTTCTTGTGCATGACCTCGCTCCACCCAAAACTCGACAATAAATCTTTGTCCTCAAAAAACAATGACACGGAAACATTTTGAAAGCATATATTTGAATTCAAAAAGCTTTGAAAAAAACGACAGTTAACAAGAATAAACTTGATATCACTCATTTCCCTTCCGCCTGTTCTATCCATATATTTCTCCAATACAGTGAACTTCATAAAATTGCCTTGAAGGTGCTGCAAAAAAAAAACTCTTGAATATTTGAAGAACTTATTGTACAACAAAGTTTAGCGAGTGGAAAATTTCCGAATTTTTTTTATGATTCCGCGCGGAAAAAAAATCAAACTGAAATAGATGCATGCAATTAAAATCGACAATTTTTCCTCGTTTTCGCATGGAAAAAAGAATAGAAATAATCCGAAATGAAGTAAAGTACAGCATTTTCAAATGAAATACCGACATTTTTGAACAAGAATAGAAGAATAATTATTTTTTCCGCATGAATAAAGAAAAGTCAAGAGTATTTTCAAAACTGGGAGAAAATATTTTTTTCTTACATATTTAATGTTCAAATAAAGTGGCTGTAAAATTCAGGAAGTTAATATATAATACAGAAGGATATTCTTGCAACAACCTTATTCGATTAAATGATTTATTTTTTGGAAAAAATTATTTTAATGTCCCTTGTCTAAATTTTTTTGAGTCTCATAAATCGTGACAATTTTTTTTTTGCAACAGCACACGTTTTAAACAGGACCCAGCACTTTTTAATCGTCAAGTGGTTTGACGCATATTATGAAGCAAAAATGCCAAAAATATTTCAAAGAAAATGCCAAAAATATTTAAAATGAAAATACCACGCATATTTAACATTTTTTTCAAGAAACAAAATTAAGCATTGATTCCTCACAAAAATACGACTATACTTCAAGAAAAAGAACACAATTTTTGCATATCCAGCTCGCCAAGAAATATTAATAAATAAAATAAATTTCGAAGCTTTTGCAGAATCAAATCCTTTTCGACGAGGAAATTTACGGGGATGAATAAACACTGAATGAGAAAACGTTTGTCCTCATCTCGGTTCCGGCCGAAAGAAATATTAATAAATAAAATAAATTTCGAAGCTTTTGCAGAATCAAATCCTTTTCGACGAGGAAATTTACGGGGATGAATAAACACTGAATGAGAAAACGTTTGTCCTCATCTCGGTTCCGGCCGAAACAGAGAACTTATAAAGCACAAGCTTTGTTTTTCTGCGACTGATTTGACTTGACAAACGAAAGAAAAAAAAAGTTGAGAAGGAGAATACGTGTGGGTAGTTGTGACACGACGAAAATTCTCTTTTTCTCGGGAGGAAACGATTAGTCTATACTCACACCCAGGCCTTGACCGTAGCCACGAGCGGTCAAACAGATCATAACCGAAACCTTATACAGTATATCTGAAACATTTAGTTATAAACATGCGTTTCATCAACTCTTTTTCTTTTGTTTTCAGGCTGAAAGATGTATGGCATTCAGTTGGATACGACTCATTCGCGAAAAATGTTGGAATACCGGGATTTGTTTATAATTGATCTTCCCGCAATTAAGAGAGGAGAATATTTGGATTCATCAGGGCTTTGCACATCATTTGAGCTGCTGCGAAAATGTACAATTGGAGAAATGTTTTGTAAAAAAACGCCTGTTTTATTTTTTTTGGGTCTAGAAAGGATTTACGCAAGCAAGTTTCTTTCAATACTGTAATTGGCAAATTTCATTTTCTTTATTTGATATACTTCATTATAATTAAAATTTTTCTTTATTTCCACTGGTGGTAAAATGTTCATCTTTTGGAACTTTAAATTTCCAAATGCACAATAATCAATCCAATACAGGCATAACTACAGTTATAACTGCAGGGGCATAACTACAGTTTTGCCCCCAGCAAATAATTTGTTATAGGCTAGGCTGGATGTAGCAGCAGCTACACATAGCAAATGCATGGTGCTACACATATATAGCTGTTACATCCAGCCTCTTCTGCTATGCTTTGACAATTTCCATGGACTTTCAGGCCTGATGTAATAATAAATTTTTGTGCAATGGATAGGGAATGTGTACATTATGCTTCTATTGTTATTCATATATTTTAGAAATTTAGGATGTCCTTTTCTTCAGTGTAACAGGCAGTGTGTATTGCAATGCCTGCCTGTTACATTACAAAAAAATCCTTTCTGCTATTGTCCTTGATGCAGTGATAAAATGGCATTGTTGCAGTGTAATTCAAGTGTTTGTTGCTGTTTTCACATGTTTGTCACAGTTTTATGTAATTGTCACAGTATTATAATACTTCACAATTTTATAATATGCAGAAAAAAAATTTTCATGGTTTTATAATACTGTACTGCAAGAATTAGATAAAACTGTACTGTATTATAAAACTGCAGGAACCCCATTATAAGGTATACAGGCCTGTTCCTTATTCAACTGTAGCAGGTAGGCCTTTTGCCATGCCAGCCAGCTACCTGTAACAGGCTAGCATTCAGCTACAGAAGCCAGATATGTGTAGCAAGCAGTCATGTCAAAACGCCTATACCTGCTATGCCTAACAAATGTCCTAAGTAGGTGTAACATATTAAGCATAGCAGCTGGATGTGTCAAACTCAACCCCCAATTATCTGCTTAGTGAGAAGCTTGACTTTTCTTCAAGATTTCTATATCTAGAATAAAATTTATTCCCAAGTTTTACTCCATTCTCTATTCATTTTCATACTTTTTTTTATGTCTCTGCTGCAGGTTCCACCCAATTCTTTATCTTGACATTTTTATCTAGTCCAAAATGTTCAAACATTACATTCATGAATCATATAAATTAAATTTTTCTTCTGAACAAGAAAAATAATTTAAGTGACAAAAAATGAGAATCAACATTTTCAAATGAGTGAAAAAGAAGACAGAAGAAAGCACTGTGGAAGATGAGTATATTATTCACAAACAGCCAATCAACAATTTCAACAAAAAAGGCAGATCATCTCAACAAATGCGGAATTGATATATTGGAGATCTCTTAAAACATGAACAAAATATACAAAATTATAACAATCATGAAACCGTCTCCATAAGATTCCTGGAAGCTTCAGTTTTTCTCAATTCAATTCACACAAATACTGTCAAAAATAACTTCAGAATACAGAGACAATAATTTTTCATAACTGCATAGAAAAAAGAGCGATAATTCAATATAGAAACAAGTTTCAAAAAGGAAATCTTTGCTAAATTAATCTTATGTTCATTATAGAAAATTATTTACTGGGTTCCTTCAGTATCTGGGGAACATTCTTTAATGTCATCAAAATTTTTTTCTTCTAAAATTAAATCGTAAAAAGAAACCAAAAGCAATCAATGAGATAATTGAAAGTCGAGAAAAGGCAACGTCTTTCAAGAAATTTACCTAATAATTATTCAGGTTAAAGATAACATGAATTATTTCAGTAGTGGAAATTGAAAACAAATTTTAGAGGCATGAGTAAAAATGAACCATTAATTTTTGGGAAACAAGTAAATTATAACTAGAAAAAAACTGAATCTAATGAACTGAAAAAACAACTAAAGATATCCAAAAAAAAAAAATCCGCCCAAAGCTTTACAACAATGAACACCAGTACGGTTCAACTGGGACAAAATCAAAAGCACATCGCTCAATTTAAACAAAAATTCTCTGAATAAATAAACCATCGCCGAATCTGCTCAAACAATGATCCAAAAAAAACAAAGCAACCTTTCAGTAAATTCCATCTTCAAAAAAAAAAAAGAAGCAAAAAGTGGCCACGAGTTCAAGAGGATTCGAAATGTTCACTGGCATTCGTTTCAAGCCCTGATGATTGATGATCCCCATTTCGAATCTCTTCCTGCTGAATTTCTGCTTTCGTCACTTGATCGTCTGGAAATTTTGCCAATTCCGTCTGCTGAACTGCTGACGAGTCTTCATCTGCGGGATTTTCTGCGTTTTCGGATACAGATTCCGGATTTTTCAGCATTCTCTTGTAATATTGGCGACTGAAGAATGGGAATGAGTCGCGGTAAAAACTCACGAGTGGGTCACTGTTCCAGTACAGCGGATTTCTCTGAAAAAAAAAAATCAGAAACATGATCTTTATTATCATATTAAAATATTCAATCATAATTATACACACTTCACACTTTTAAAAAATGACGAAATGCATTTATAACTAATTTTCATCATTGAAAAAATATCAAACGCTTATCTGAGGAGATTATCTTATTTTGATGATATTATCATTATTCATTTTCTTTAAAAAAGTACATGTTTATAAATCTTGTCTGCTTTTGCGCATGATTGAAATAATAGGTCTCAAACCCTGAAATTGAAATAATTTTTGAATGGTCAATTTTTTGAATACACCAACACATAAAATTGGAATCTTAAATTTTTGAAACTTGACTTTGTCATCACTTCTGAACGTTTCTCACACGCATTAAAAATGCTGAAAGAAATACCACTAATAGAATGCTATCAACATTCAACTTCAACGAATTTTCAGAATGATTTACAACAAAGTTATTCCGATACATTTTCAGTGCTTCCTTTGAAAATCCTGAGATTTTATTTTCCCCATCTTCGAGGGAAGAAATCTCAAAACATTATCCTTCATGATCTGAAAATTGAAAAAAAGACATTTACTCGAAAGAAAATGATAACGAATTCGTTCCTTCGAAGAATCAAACATCGATTTTTTTCCGAATTTGATCCCAGACTTCAGAAAATAATTTCACATATTTTGTAAAAACATCAATTTTGTGAGGACAATTTTTCTAGTTACATTGTAATAACATTTTACCAGGTGTTTCAGCTATAAAAAATAAATTTACTGCTTCTAAAAATAAAAATACCCTTTTGTGTCTTCCCCAACGCACAAAAAAATAATAATAAACAAACCTGATGATAATTCGAGAAAACCGGCCCGAAATCGTGTCTGAACGCGTATGCTGAGGATCCAGCAGAAGGCGCCGGGAACCCGTTAAACCCGTCGTACATATTATACGGGGTCGACACCGATCCCAACTTGGATCTTGATTGCAAAGCATCAAATACTTTATTATTATTATTGTTATGATGATGAAGATGATGATTGGGTTGCCATTGTTGCGAACTTTTCCAAGGATCTGTTCCCCAGGATCCTGCGGCAAAGGCTTGATTCGGATACGTCAAGGCAGGGAACTGGAAAAATGGCCACAGACTCGATGGAAAAGTCCCAGGAAATCCCTATACACGAAAACACACAAAAAAGAATTGTAAAATTCCGTGAATATGCCACAAAATTTTTATCAGTCATGAGAAAAAATGTTCACCTGTATACAGTATAAAAAAATCTTATTGCTTTTTTCCCAACCCACTTAAATCCAAAAAAGGAAACAAATCATTGAAAAAAAAACAACTTCAAAATGTGTCATCAATGTAATTACCAATTGATTCCCATGCTGCGATGTTCCAAATCCAAAAGGATAACCCTGGAATCTGTTGCCTGTGTTGGAGACGAACGGATATGATGGTCTCTGAATTTGCTGCTGGAACAATTGTTGTTGTTGTTGTTGATATTGTGGAAAACCAAGGACATTCTGATTTGGATACTGTATTCCTAAAGCTCCTTGTCCAGTCCCTAACCCCAATCCGAGTCCAGGTGTCGCCTCTTCCTTATTATTCATGTTTTTGTTGTTATTATTCACATTGTTCGTCCCCTGAACCCGATTGACCCACATCAACTGGACGTGAGGATCATCCAAAGAACCCGGCTTCGGGATCGGTTTAAACTCCGGCAAAGGATAAGGAATAACTGTTCCAGGTCTGCGAAGTCCAAAAGATTGCTTATTATTGCTGTCGTCATTATGCAGCAATGATGACGACGAAGAGCTGTCGACTTTATCCCGATTTCCAGCGAGACTCAAATGCTTCTCGGGCAGCGAAGGATCCAGATTCCCGTGATACCAAATATCGTTAGGACTGCCATCTACGTATGGCAAACTGCTACTGCCGCTGGACGGATTTCCCGAGCCATGAACAGGTGTCGCTAGCGGTACCGTCGGCGCAGGCGTGGTCAGGGCTTCCCCGGGCGACAACGCGGATTCCCCGACTATTTTCGATATCGTCACAGTGCCTCTTCGTCGGGAATCAGGTGAGAAACCCGCGAGTCGAAAGCTCAGGCGTTGTTGGGGATCTAGGGCATCTGATGGGTTCGGGCCGGGTGTGACAGCGGCGAAGAGCTCTACGCCCGTGGAAGCTGGGTCAAAGGGTCGCGGGGCGCCGGTGACCTCGGTTTCTGCTCTGTACACAGGTAGGTCCGCCGCCACGGAGCCAGAAGACAATGAAGACGAGGAGGAAGTCGAGGGTTGGTCCGTTATTGACACTTGTTCGTCGTTATTCCTTTTTTTCTTGTCCGGGTTGGACATTTCGGACGTGTATAAGATGACGACGCCATTTTTCTTCCTGTGATAACTTGCTAAAAAAATAAAAGTGGGAAACAAAAGAACCGATTCAATCGAAACACATGTTGAGGAACCGAGTTGTCCTCATTCATGAATGAAGGAAGGAAAAAAAATCAAGCTAGAGATAAAAATTAATCGACCAAATAAAATTGGCGAAGAGTAATGGACCAGAAAATCAGGAAAACCCGAAAATATCTCCAAGAATACATGTGCCTTTCGATGCCAAAAGATGTCTTAAACTTCAGATTAATTGGCCAATTTTCTGGCCTCTGGACATTACAACACTTTCATCCCGAATAATCAAAATGAAACATGTTTTTTTTTTTTCATTCATGTAATCATCAGTAGTCTCATGAGTTTCACACCATTTTTGTAATGTGATCAATTAAGTTCTGCTGACTTGTAAAAACTGCTGTCTTTCTATAAAAAAAAGTCGTTTACAAACCTGATTATTTTTGGGGACAAACACTTGAAATATATTCATAACTGGTAACTAGAAATCCCTAGAAAAAAGTTATTGATTGAAGACGTCAATTTTGGAAAATTTCCCCATGCATTAAAAATTTATAGAGCTGCTTCGGTTAATGGACTTCAAAGATTACAACAAGTATACAGATAAATTCTCTCTACAACGATTTTCTCTGTATAATAGTTTTATTTTGACACAAGAGGTTCTCTAATGCCAATATATATATATTGGCATTTTTTAGTTGCTAAAATTTTTGTACAATTTTTCCAGGTGTACTCTCTGAAAAAAATATATAGATTCTTTTTATATATTTATATACACCTGAAAAATTGTAATATATATATATATATATATATATATATTTTTTTTTTCAGAGAGTACACCTGAAAAAATTGTAAACAAAATTTAGCAGCTGAACAATGCCAATTTCGTACATTATATAGAAAGGCTCGATATAATGATTTTTGACGCTTATAAATAAATGCATTATTTTTCAAAGTTTAATGAGTTTGGAAAAGCGGAGCATAATTCTTTTTAAAAATTAACAAAACAAAAAATCACCATTCGATTCACTCGCGGATTCGGAACCCCCGGAACCGACCCCATCATTTTCAGCGGCAGCAGGATAAATGGTGACGTTGGCCCCGGGTTCGATCATCCTGTAACCCCAGTCGTCGGACACATAGTGGGTCTCTTTCTGCTTCCCGTCGCTGTCGATGTACCCGAATCTTCCAAACACGACCCCGTTCGGAAGCCGACGTTCCCGGCGATTGAAAACCTGCTCCGCCTGGGGCAGATTCCCGAAAATCGGTGGGAAATTTCCTTCGGGTTTCGTCAAGGGTCCCAGGAACCCTGTGGAGATAATTTGAAAAACGAAATTGAGCGAAATAGCATGACTTTGATGGAAAGTACCGCAAGAGTACTTATGTTTGATTGACATAATTTCGCCAAATTTTGATGGGAAAATAAGAAACGCGATTTTTTTCCTTTCTTTCGCGAACTGGGTCGCATTTCAAAAGGGTTCTGGCACCAACGCATATTAAATGTGGACGAGGCGATAAAATATATATTTTATGGTTTTATATAGTATCTATAAACATTATATTCTGGACACAGAAAAATGCCAACTTCCATCGTTATATTATTTACTAAAATCATAAATCGAATGCATATGTTTCTATGCACCTTTTTTTTTTGGAGGAGAAACGGAAAAATTGCCGCATTCATTTATTTAAATGAAGGCCATGATTCAAAACAGCTTTTCGTCTTTTAAGAGTATGTTTACAATTAGAATAATTTTCATTTTTCGCAATTGAATTTTTTTCGGGCTCCGCAGTTTTTGCGCGGAAAAAGGATCAAGGGAGATGATAATCAATTTAAAAATAATAACAAGTACAGTATTTTAAAGACTTCATTTCTTCTGAGGTTTTAAAAATAATATATTTTCAAGTTGACTGTTTCTCTTTAAATTCTTTCCTTCGGATTAATTCTTGAAAAACAGTCTAAATAAAAATTCAAAGCACGCCTTTCTGGAAAAAATGACCATATTTTGTGTACAGAATTTTGTAAATTTGAATTATTTTTCATTTTAGTATTGGAATACTGCATATTAAATATAATGTGAATGAAAGCCTAAAAAATGTCCGGAGTTTTCGAAGGCGAAATTTTAAAAGCAGAAAATCATTCGAAACAGCTTTTTATTCCTTCAGGCGAAAGGTTGACTATGAAATTTTATTTTCATTTTTCAAGACATCGAAAAGATATTTTGGGTTAAATTTTTTGCATGAAAAATGGATCATGGAAGAAATTCAGGCCAGGAAAATTAATTGGGGGAATTTCTAGTTCGTTCTAACAAGTTCCTACAGCACAAAAGTAAAAACTGCTGTAAAAAATTAATAGCATTAAAAATAAACTCTTCTCTCGTCCCATGTTTCAAATTATGTGGTCAGAAGAAAATGGTTGACCGCATTGTAAAAATAAACGTCTCACCAATCATCATTATCAATATCTTTACTAGCCGTTAGAAAGGGAAAAAAGTTTCCTTTTTTTTGTGTGTGTGACCCAGTTTCCATCACGTGCTGCTTCTTCATCAATGATATAACTAGGCTTCCGAAGCCTTTCGATCATCATCTCACGACATCCAATTATATGCTTGAAGATAATGAAGGGTTGTGCTCAATTTTCGATCGACACTTGATTTCACCTATGGCCTGAATTTTCTTTGATCAATCATTCAATGATTTTTGACCGAGTCCTGTTGACCTGCTCTCAGGAAAAAACGTGAACCCAGGAAATCCATTTTTTATTTCTTCAAAAGAAAAGAAAGTATTTCAACATGAACCCAGGAAATCATTTCAGTTCCGCAAAATAATAAAAAAAATTGTGCTTCTTCAGATTTTGTCTGAAAAAAATCTCAAGGAGCTTTTGATTGCTGATCACGATAATATTTTATTAGTACACAATTTTTTCTTCTTCTGATGATTTTTGAAGAGTAAGTTTTCTGGAGACATTTATCACAAGACAAGAATCACAAATTGGGATTTTTGGCAAAATCACAGTTTGCAATGTGCAAAAATTGGCCTTCTTTTCAGCTTTCCTGAGAAAGTTTGAGCATCGTTCATTTGGATGATTGAAATAATTATAACGCGGTATTTTCATTATAGCGTTTTATGAAGATTAAACTTTTTGAAAGCATTTCTAATTGTTAATGGGAATTTAAATTCTCCCACAAAATCATAGTTTGCAATATTTAAAAAATCTTTCATCGAAAAATTTGAAGCATGGATTATTTGATGATCATAATAATTATTTAATTATTACGGAGTATTTTTAATATGGTGATTTTAAAAAGCCTTTCTCATTCTTAATCAGAATATAATTTTCCCCCGCAAAAATCATAGTTTGCAATATTTAAAAAATCTTTCATCGAAAAATTTGAAGCATGGATTATTTGATGATCATAATAATTATGTAATTATTACGGAGTATTTTTAATATGGTGATTTTTAAAAGCCTTCCTCAGTCTTAATCAGAATATGATTTTTTCCCCGCAAAAATCATAGTTTGCAACATATACAACAAACACTTGCTTTGTTCAGATTTTTGCCTATAAACCTCAAGCTATGCGTTCATTTGATGATCCTTATTATTATTTAATTATTACACATTATCTTTTTAATAGTGTTTTATGAAGATTACACTTTTTGAAAGCTTTGACGACGCGATGGGAAGCAGAATTTTCCACAAAAAAATCATAAATGCAATATTCTAGATATTTTTGCGGAGAAATCTCAAGCCGATGTCCTCTGCTAATCACATCTGTTCATTACACATTCAATTCGAGCATAGCCCCAAATTTTACTCGGTATGTTTCCAGGAATATTTTTACTCCAAAAAGCATAGTCCATGAAATCCCATTGACCAAAAAAATAAGACGATCGAACCATTGATCCGAGTCCCGACTTCCAGACAGCAAATAAATCACGTGGCAACGAGGACTGCCAAAAATATATCCCTCAATTTCCATGCCCAATAACTCGCGGGTCACGCCTGGGAAAACACGGTGAGACGAAGGGTGAAAAATTTCTGTACCTATTACTACAAAAATAAATAAAAAATACAAATAAAATACATTCACTGAAAGAGTACGGTATTTATTTATTTATTTGTCCGTGGTTTCTACTTGAGTAAGTTTCAACAGCGAATGCCGCAAGTTGACAAGGAGGTTTTCTCCGAAACACTTGTCATGTACCACAAAAGAGTAAGGAAATTGGCACCCGGGGTATTATGAATGGATTTTTGTTAAGCACAACCAACTGGGGTTGACGCAATTTATTTATTTTTGTGTGGAAAAAATAAGCAAATTTTTTTCCTGTGCTATTTTCTGAAACGAAAAACAATTCAATCATGAACGGATGATGAATTTTTTTTTCAACAAGCGTGAAATTTTAAATTCATTTTGAACGGTTGTGTGTACTGGTGAAAATGGAGCCTGTGTTTTCGATTTTTTTTTTCTGCACGAAATGCGGAAAAATTTAAATTCGTGTCATGAAAAATGACACGAATCCAATTGCATTCGTGTCATGAAAAAACCGTTATTTTGCGTTAAAAAAATTAGCACTACAGCGTCCTGCAACACCTTCGAAAATATTTCTGTTCGGATAGAAATACTATTAGAGTAAATCAAAATGCTGAAAAATTGAATATTCCTCAGATTCATCTAGTATATTGTTTATCTTTCACAAAAAATTCTTTATATTATACACTTGACCAATGAAATAAGCTCCCATAATGAAGTCTAATGGGGAAAACTTGTTTCGATATGCGGACGCTCAGAAATATAGGCATAAGGCTAAAGCTTCGAATAACGTCCGCATCTCGGGGCCCAACATTTTCTACATTCATTCTACTCCTAAAAAAAATTTTTTTTTTTCGCACATGAAAAAAAAAACATATTCCCTTATTTTTTGTTCCAACTGGAAGCACAGTTTCTAGAACTTCACAAATCATCATATCCCAATTTAAAAAAGAAAGAAAAGAAGACAAAAACAGCTGGAACGTTTCTGGATCTAGTTCAACGCCCTTTCAAGCCTGGATGACTCAAAACACATGAGCAAAAATCGTCTACGCAAAAAAAATATATATAAACATTTTTTTTTCTTCAGAGCCCCCCGGGGCAGGACTTCCTGCTTTCTCTCTCCCTGCGCATGGCAATGATTCATGGAAATACGGCAAGAAGGTGTTGCTGACTAACGTTGACGAATGCGCATTATTTCTGGAGAAATCATTAAAAGTATTTCTAGGAGAATATGCATTAAAGCGTGTGACTCGGGATTCCAGATTCATCATTCTCGGTTCAGGGGCATGATGAGCTGTAACCAGCAGCCGAAGGGACCGGAACTGAGCAAGAGATTCCACGCGTTTCGAACCGCGACTGTTCCGGTTCAGCTCGTAGATCGAAATGCAACTATAAGGTGCAAAAAATGAAGGGAATAAAAAAAAAAAAAGATACTCAGGCAAAAAAAAAAACAAAACACGAGGATATGCAGGAGTCAGATAATCACAGGTAAAAATCACACCCAGTGACGAAAATTATAATTTAAAGCAGTGTTCCCCAAACTGTGGTCCGCGGACGTTTTTTCTCCGGTCCGCGGGAAAAACTTCTTTGGCATGATACATTTAAAGAAGGTAGTAATGAAGCTGGTTATCCTTAATTATCCAAAATTTTGGGGAAAAAATGGCAGTTGAAGCTGTTGGGATTTAAGCAAAACTGACTTTTAATAAAATAAAACTCGAGGATTTGGTTGGGCTAAAAAAAGGGCGGATTTCACCCAATTTTAACATTTGTATATTTCAGTTAAACAGAATCACTTCAATTTTTTGCAGGATCTTTCAAACAGCACACACAAGATCCAGGTTCGGAATGACAAAAATATGAAAGAGAAGGCATCAGAAAAACTATCCTTCAAGTATACTGGTTGTGGGCCAGAGATGGCCACAAAGATATAAAAACACAGTTTCAGTGAAACCAATTTCAGAGGTCAGTTTGCACCACCTCAGGAATTCCAGGGTACTCCCCCAAATTCCAGGAATCCCAAAGGGGTGGGGAAGATGAGTTTGTACCTAGACAAACTTGTCTTCCCTCAAACCCATCTCGAAAATTTGCAACAGAAGCTATGTGAGAAATGTCGCGGGTCGACTAGATGTCGCCCGCAGCGCATGAACAGGAGAGGCACAGAAAGTGCGACGCAGCGCATGGAAACGCTACGTCGTACGAGAAAATAAATTCGAGAATATTGTGGAACAAAAAAGAACAAACATTTTTATCCAAACATTATGAAACTGGTTGTGGGCCAGAGATGGCCACAAAGATATAAAAACACAGTTTCAGTGAAACCAATTTCAGAGGTCAGTTTGCACCACCTCAGGAATTCCAGGGTACTCCCCCAAATTCCAGGAATCCCAAAGGTGTGGGGAAGATGAGTTTGTACCTAGACAAACTTGTCTTCCCTCAAACCCATCTTGAAAATTTGCAACAGAAGCTATGTGAGAAAAATAAAAGGTTAGCTTTTCTTCTTATTACAGTTTACCCTTCAAACACGTCTTCTTTTGTCTGAAATATATTAAAGTATTCTCAGTTTTGAATCTGAGAAGCCCTTCTTGAAGATCAGCATTAATTTTTTAAAAGACATTCCAATGTATAGCTGCTTCTGGGTTCTTCACTTAATTTTTGGAATTTAAGTTTTGTTTGGAGGCAGGTATTTAAAAAAGTTGTCTGGTCTTCAAAAATTGTATGGAACTTTGCCAGTCTGCAGAGAATTTTATGACAATTTGCTGGTCCGCAAAAGCTTTTTTCAAAATTTGCTTGTCCGACAGCAAAAAAAAAGGTCGGGGAACACTGATTTAAAGAGTTCAGGGAGTGATTTTTGGGAAGCAAGCACAGATTTCGAGAAATTATTCGGGAAAAATCAATTATAATCAATTTTGAATAAAAATCCCAGCAGTTTATCAAAGCACTGTGAGTTGATTTCGAAGAATAATTTCAAAGGGGTTCTTCTTCTTCCATTGCATTTCAGCATTATACGAGTACTTGATCTAAATCTGACGGAACATTCAGAGATAAATCTAATTTATACTTTTCAGTGACACTGACACTAATGGGTATAGCTTAATATAATATAATGGGTATTGTCGCGGGTCGACTAGATGTCGCCCGCAGCGCAGGAACAGGAAAGGCACAAGAAAGTACGACGCAGCGTAGGAAACGCCACATCGTACATGAAAACAAATATCTCGAAAATTCCAAACAATTCAAGATAATAATAGAAATATCTTTTATTAAAAACATTATGAAACCTGAAGATATTGATCTTCAGGAAAAACATTCCACCAAGTGAATCATCACTTGATGAAAGGAATTATGAAGAATTTTACAAACAGAAAATTAGTCAAAAGAACAGACCTGCATATTTTGTGTGTGACTTTTATTGCTGGGAAATATTATTTGTGGACTTGGACATTGCTGATAAACACAAGTTGAGGGTTCAGGACCCTTAGGCCGCAAACGGCCGATTGTGCTATAAACTTATTTCACTAAAACCTGATATTTGTGTTGGGGTCTGAGGACCTCT